CCACTATAGTGTCAGGAAAGCCACCATAAACAATACGGAATGAAGGGAGGATCACTTGAGCCTGGGAGTTCGAATGAATGAAGGCCGGGTGCAGTGGCTCAGGCCTGTAATCCCAGCACTTTGGGAGGCCAAAGAGGGTGGATCAGGAAATCAGGAGTGCAAAACCAGCCTGGCCAAGACGGTGAAACCCTGTCTCTACTAAAAATACAAAAATTAGTCGGGCGTGGATGCGGGTGCCTGTAATTCCAGCCACTCGGGAGGCTAAGGCAGAGAATTGCTTGAACCTGGGAGGCAGAGTTTTCAGTGAGCCGAGATCATGCCATTGCAGCCCAGCCTGGGCGACAGGGTAAGACTCCATCCATCTCAAAAAAAAAAAGACAATACGGAATGAATGAGTGTGGCTGTGTGCCAGGCACACTTTATTTATGGACAATAAATGGGAAATTCATATCATTTGCACGTGTCAGGAAATGTTATTTTTCTTTTGATATTTTTCCAGACATTCAAAAACAAAAACAATTAAGTGAAAGAATCTTCATTTGCAAGGCTGCACAAAAACTGGCAGTGGGCCATATTCAGCTTTTGGCTGGAAGTTTGCTGATCCTGGCTCTAGAGTGCTCTTAACCTTTATGCTATAATTATTTCTTGTTTCCTTTTGTTTTGTTTTTGTTTTTGTTTTTAGAGGTAGCGTCTCACTCTGTCACCCAGGCTGGAGTGCAGTGGTGCGATCCTAGCTCACTGCAGCCTCAGCCTTCTGGGTTCAAGTGATCTTCCAACTCAGCCTCCTGAGTAGCTAGGACTACAGGCGTGAGCCACCATGCCCTGAGGCACCAGTATCTTTAAATCTTTTTAAAATTTATTAAATTTTATTTTATTTTTTTGAGACAGAGTCTTGCTTTGTTGCCCAGGCTGGGGAGCAGTGGCGTGATTGTGGCTCATTGCAACCTCTGCCTCCCAGGTTCAAGTGATTCTCCTGCCTCAGCCTCCAGAGTAGCTGAGATTGCAGGCTCGCACCACCACTTCCATCTAATTTTTGTATTTTTAGTAGAGATGGGGTTTCACCATGTTGGCCAGGCTGGTCTCAAACTCCTGGCCTCAAGTGATTCGCTTGCCTCAGCCTTCCAATATGTGGGGATTACAGGCGTGAGCCATCGCGCCCGGCCTAGAGTGCTCTTAACCTTTACATTTCTTTCTCTTTTCCTTATTTATTTATTTTATTTATTTTTTTAAAGATAGGGTCTCGCTCTGTTGTCCAGTCTGGAGTGTAGTGGTGCAATCATAGCTCACTGCAGCCTTCACCTCCTGGACTCAAGCAGTCCTCCCACCTCAGCCTCCTGAGTAGCTGGGACTACAGGCATGAGGCACCATGCCCAGCAGCATCAGTATCTTTCAATCTTTATTCCTGGCCTGGCACGGTGGCTTATGTGTGTAATCCCACCACTTTGGGAGGCTGGGGCGAGTGGATCACGTGAGGTCAGGGGTTCAAGACCAACCTGGCCAACATGGAGAAATCTTGTCTCTACTAAAAGGAGGCAGAGGTTGCAGTGAGCCGAGATGGTGCCACTACACTGTAGCCTAGATGACAGAGCAAGACTGTCTCAAAAAAAGAAAAAAAAAAGTCTTTATTCCTGGTTGGTCAGCTTCCTTGGAGAGGGACCTTCTACCTATCCATCTTCTGGATCCTGGACGCTGAGGGAGTATAGGTAAGCGCTGAGGGCATGTGTGTGTCTTAATTTCAACATTCACATTCCAGGTTCAATGAACACTCCTGTTTCCCACTACCCACAATTTTTTTCTCTCCCTTTCCAGAAACTCTGCCATTTTTCTTTCTCTCTCTCTCCTTTTTTTTTTTTTTTGGAGACAGAGTTTCACTCTTGTCACCCACGCTGGAGTGCAAAGGCGTGATCTCCGGTCACTGAAACCTCCGCCTCCCGGGTTCAAGCAATTCTCCTGTCTCAGCCTCCCGAGTAGCTGGGATTACAGGTGTGTGCCACCATGCCTGGCTAATTTTTTTTGTATTTTTAGTAGAGGCGGGGTTTCACCGTGTTGACCAAGCTGGTCTTGAACTCCTGACCTCAGGTGATTCACTCACCTAGGCCTCCCAAAGTGCTGGGATTACACGCATGAGCCACGGTGCCCAGCCCATTTTCCTTTCTGTCTGTTTTTTGTTTTTGTTTTTTTTTTGAAACGGAGTCTTGCTCTGTCGCCAGGCTGGAGTGCAGTGGTGCGATCTTGGCTTACTGCAATCTCCGCCTCCCAGGTTCCAGCAATTCTCCTGCTTCAGCTTCCCGAGTAGCTGGGACTACAGCGTGCGCCACTATGCCCAGGTAATTTTTTGTATTTTTAGTAGAGATGGGGTTTCACCGTGTTAGCCAGGATGATCTCAATCTCTTGACCTTGTGATCCACCCGCCTTGGCCTCCCAAAGTGCTGGGATTACAGTCGTGAGCCACTGCCCCTGGCCTTTCCTTTCTCTTAAGGAAAAAAAAACAAAAAAAACAAAAAAAAAACTGGACGCAGTGGCTCACACCTGTAATCCCAGTACTTTGGGAGGCCAGGGCAGGAGGATCCATTCAGCCCAGGAGTTAGAGATCAGCCTGGGCAACATGGAGAGACTCTGTCTCAATTAAAATATAAAATAAAATATCCTGTGTGCATTCACTTCGGAAAAAAATGCAATAAAATAAAATAAAAAATAAAAAAGAATAAAAAAGGGCCTGGCGGCCCAGCAGCCCATCAAGGTAGCTCACGCCTATGATCCCAGCACTTTGTGAGGTCGAGATGAGCGGATCAGTTGAGCCAAGGAGGTGGACTGAGCAATATCGTGAAATCCCATCTCTTCAAATAATACTAAATTAGCTGAGCATCGTGGTGCGTGCCTATAGTCCTAGCTACTTGGGAGGCTGAGGTGGGAGGATTGCTTTAGCCTGGCGGTTGAGGTTGCTGTGAGCTGTGATTACCCACTGCCTGGGTGACAGTGTGAAACCCTGTCTCAAAAAAATAAAAATGATTTAGAAAGGGCCAGGTGAGGTGGCTGTTACCTGTAGTCCCAGCACTTTGGGAGTCTGAGGCGGGAGGGTCACTTAAGCTGAGGAGTTCGAGGCTACAATGAGCCGTGATGACAGCACTGCACTCCAGCCTGGACAACAGAGTGAGATGCTATTATTTTTGAGACAGAGTCTTGCTCTGTCACCAAGGCTGGAGTGCAGTGGTGCAATCTCGGCTCACTGCGACCTCCACCTCCCAGGTTCAAGTGATTCTCCCGCCCCAGCCTCCCAAGTAGTTGGAACTACAAGCATGCGCCACCACACCCAGCTAATTTTTGTAGTTGTTGTTTTTTTTTTTTTTTTTTTTTTAGTAGAGACAGGGCTTCACTATGTTGCCCAGGCTGGTTTTGAACTCCTGAACTTAAGGGATCCACCCGCCTCAGACTCCCAAAGTGCTGGGATTACAGGCGTGAGCCACCAGGCTGGGCCGAGAACCTATCTTAAAAAATTCCTTCTCTGATTCTATCTTATGGAAAGTGGAGAGGAGCTCATGTCCCTTCCGCATTTTTTTTTTTTTTTTTTCTTTTTGAGATAAGAGTCTTACTTTGTCACCCAGGCTGGAGCGCAGTGGCACGATCTCCATCTTGGCTCACTGCAATCTCCGCCTCCCGGGTTCAAGCGATTCTCTTGCCTCAGCCTCCTGAGTAGCTGGGATTACAGGCACCTGCCATCACACCTGGCTAATTTTAGTATGTTTAGTAGAGATGGGGTTTCACCATGTTAGTCAGGCTGGTCTTGAACTCCTGACCTCAGGTGATCCACCTGCCTCAGCCTCCCAAAGTGCTGGGATTACAGGCGTGAGCCACCGCGTCCTGCCTTCTTCCGCAGATTTATCTATGGCAAACTTCTGTATTTTAGCCGCCATCCACCACATTGTTCATGGTTGAGGGGATTCACCAACAAGTGAGTCTTGGGGGTGGTGGAAATCTAAGGAAACTCACCTTTCCATTCTGCTGGCTTGTAATTTTTTTTGGTTTACGAACAATTGCTTAAGTGTCACTACAGTGAAGTTTCAGGAGACAGTGAAAGCAGAGGCTGGTTCAGTTTGTCACCTTGACCCGGAAGGGATGGTATATAGGGAGACATGAGTGGTAAGAAGGTGTCTGGCAGTTGCAGGTCTGGGGAAAGAATGTTCCAGGCTGAGGAACAACAGCTGTGAAGGAAAAACGTGGGCACAAGTGGCATTCTCAAACTTCTGGAGGACGCCCCCTCCGAGAGTTTCCGGCGGTTTAAGCCGGGCTGCTAGAATTTGCATAGCTAATTGATAGTGGCCCTGTTGCTGGGTTGGGCCTCATACGTGGAGAACCCAAACCGTATATAGGAAGTGTTTAGCATTTGGTAATGTTCCTTCAACACTAGCCAGTATCATTATTGTTTTCTCTGTAATCCCCCAGGGAGGCCCAATACAGGATCAGACACAGTGCTGACATCGGAAGATACTTGTTCTGTTGCGTGAGAAGTCTCCCTTATGACTGGGCACGGTAATGCATGCCTGCACTCACAGCGCTGAGAGGCCAAGAGAGGAGCAATGCTTGAGTCTGGGAGTTTGAGACCAGCTGAGCAACATAGCAAGACCCTGCCTCTATAAAAAAGTAAAAAATTAAAAAAAAATTGGTAGGCATGGTGGTATGTGCCTGTAGTTCCAGCTATTCAGGAGGCTAAGACAGGAGGATGGCTTGAACCCAGGATTGGAGGCTGCAGTGAGCTATGATCGTGCCACTGCACTCCAGCCTGGGCCACAGAGCTGGTATCTGAAAACAAAACAAGTCCCTTTATTTCACGGGCTGTTGACTCCTGCTAGCAGAGGGATAAAAGGTGTGGTCTACCCTCCCATCTCCCGTGGGGCTGGGAGACGGGAAGGGAGTTGGCTAGTGTGGACCCACACTGGTCTGGGCAGACCGGGACTTCAACACCAGCCAAGGGCTTTCCCCGGGTCACGTCCCTCTCCATCTGGGAGTGCTTCCTCTTTTGGGGCCAAGTTTTCACTGCTTTTTGGCCCATCCTCCCAGCCCCGGATTGGCCGCCTCCAGCAGGCCAGAGCAGATGGGAAATGTGAGTTTCCTCCACCTCGCTCCACACTGTCTCTTTCTCACAAGGGGAATTTCTCCACCTGGACTCTCCGAGCTTCTGCTTATAGGGTCCTGAGGGGCTCCTGCCGGGAAGCATCCAGTGGGTGGGTGGGGGCAGGCCAGGGAAGGCCCAGGGATCCTGGGGAAGGTAGGCAGGAGGGCTGAGCATGACACTCAGGGTTCCATTGTGGGGGTTGGGGCTTGGGGGCAGGTGCTCCAGGAGTGGGGGTGGTTGAGGCCTGGCTGAAGCCTGACCCTTCTTAGGAAGTGCTGGATGTGGGGGAACCTGGGGGAGTCCTAGTGATGGGAGGCTAGGGGGTGCTGAGAGGAGGGGAAGGAGACAGAGACTAAGAAAGAAAAGGAGAGAGACAGGGAGAGACAGAGGGAATCAGAGACAGAGAGAAACAGGCAGAGAGACAGAGTGAGAGCCAGAGACATACAGAGACAGGGAGAGACACAGAGACGCATAAAGAGAGGGAGCCAGAGACAGGGAGAGGCAGAGACAGAGAGAGATACAGAGAGAGATAACAGAGCCAGAGGCAGAGAGACAGAGACAGAGATAACAGAGCCAGAGATAGGGAGAGTCAGAGCCAGAGAGAGTCAGAGACAGAGAGACAGAGATAGATAAAAGAGCCAGAGACAGGGAGAGAGAGAGAGAAAGACGTTAACGGGGAGACACACAGAGCAAAGGAGACTGAGTCAGCAAGAGACCCACAGAGATACCGCGAAAGAGCGGCAGAGAGGGAGAACCAGGGCAGTGGAGACACAGCAGGCAGAAAAGAACCTGGGGCCGAGCTTGGAAGGCCGGAAACGCTAAGGAGAGCGAAAGGCGGAGACAGATCCGAGTGGAGAAAATTCCGCAGAGTCACGGGGGCAAGGGGAAAGGCTCTGGGCTGGGAAGGGGCGTGGCCGCGGGCGGAGGAGCGCGGCCGTCGGCCGCGGGCTGGGGCGTTCCTATAAAAGGCTGCGCGCTGTGTCTGCCGGCAGTCTCTCGTCGCCGGTCATGGAATGCGCCTCTGACGCTGCCCTGGACCCCGAGGCCCCGTGGCCTCCCGCGCCCCGCGCCCGCGCCTGCCGCCTGCTGCCTTGGGCTCTGGTGGCCGTGCTGCTGCTGCTCGTTGCCGCCTGCGCCGTCTTCCTCGCCCGCCCCTGGGCCGTGTCCGGGGCTCACGCCTCGCCTGGCTCCGCGGCTAGCCCGAGACTCCGCGAGGGTCCCGAGCTTTCGCCCGACAATCCCGCCGGCCTCTTGGACCTGCGGCAGGTGAGACGTGCCCCGACCCTCGGTAGCTGGTCTCGCGGGAGACCCCTACCGTCCCTGTGGGACTCCCTTCTCCCTCCCGCACCCCCAGGGACACCTGTTCTACACTCCCGGCCGGGGAGAGGAGACTCACGGAGGCTCCCATTCTCCATCTAGCACCGAGGCGGGGCGAGGGGGCACACTTTTCATCGCTCACCCCTACGAGGCCTCATCAGTACCCCAGGCCGGGGGCGGGGAGGAGACTGCCCAACAGTTCTTTTTGGACCCCCCAAGGGTCTCCTTCTTCTAGCCCCGGGGGCACCCCTTTTATCCTGCGCCCGCTACGAGACCCTATCTGTATCCCGGACGGGGGAGGGGAGACCCCCACAAGTTCTTTTTGGACTTCTAAGGGCTCTCCTTCTCCGTCTTGCACGGGAGGGCACCCCTTTCATTCCACATCCCCACGAGACCCCATCAGCACCCCAGGCCAGGAGGAAGAGACCCCCACCGTCCTCAACCCCCCAAGGACACATCTTCTGCACCCCGGGTCGGAGAAAGGCTGGCTTCCCTCCTCCATGTGGCACTGGGTGGGGGCACCCCTCTTCATTCTGCATTCCCAAGGCACCCCATCTGCACCCTGGAAGGGAGACCCTCCGCAGTTCTCCAACCCTCGATAGCCTCCTTTCTCCATGTAGGACTTAGGACGGAGAGGGCACCTCTTTTTACCCCGCAACCTCGCAAGATCCGCATCCCTGGGGGGAAACTTTTCCATCCGCGATCCGAGGGGGGCACTTCCTCTTTATCTGGGACCACCAGGGAGACCCCCAGTTCCTTTGCTAACTCCCAGAGAGCCTTATCCCCAACCGTTGAGGTATCCCCCTCTCCCTTGCAAGACCCCCAGGGGAATCCCCGCAAGGGGGCTGAAAAGAAGAGGGATCTCTTTTCCCTTCTGAATTCTCGGAGGTCTGTCCTTGGGGCAGGTTGAGCCACCAGTTTCTTGTGTGTGTGTGTGTGTGTGTGTTTGTGTGTGTGTGTGTGTTTGTTCCTGTGTGTGTTTGTGGTGTGTTTGTGTGTGTTCGTGTGTTTGTGTTTGTGGTATGTTTGTGTGTTTGTGTGTGTTTGTGTGTGTTCGTGTGTTTGTGGTATGTTTGTGTGTTTGTGTTTGTGGTGTGTTTGTGTGTTTGTGTTTGTGTGTTCGTGTTTGTGTGTGTTCGTGTGTGTGTTTGTGGTGTGTGTGTGTGTTCGTGTGTTGTGTGTTTGTGTGTGTATTCGTGTGTGTGTTCTCAGTGTTCTTTAGTTGGAAGGGAAGGGAAGCGTAGGCTTCAGGTCTGCACAGACCCTGGGGACCCTGACAACTGAAGTGAGTGGAGACAGAACCTCCATTTTCTCGGGGAACCCCCATCCACCTTCCTTCTTTCCACTTTTAACAGGGCATGTTTGCGCAGCTGGTGGCCCAAAATGGTGAGTGTCCTGCGCCACTTCCGGTCCCTGGACCCTCCTGGGGATACTAAGAAGGGGTAACACCTGGAAAGTGGGGCTCTGCCGCCCACCCGCTCTGACCTTCTCTGAAAGCTGCCACTTCACCTCTTTGAACGCCACCGATCTCTCTTTCGTCCCTCTTTCTGACTTGCCCTGACTCTCTGGATACCATGGCCTCCCCATCAGACCCCCATCTGGGCCCACCTGGGACCCCTGCCCTCTCAGAGTTGGGGCTTGACATCCCCAACCCCCAGCCTGGTTTTGTGTCTCTGGCCTCCTTCTTTTCGAAATCTTCCTCCCTGTTGCTTTTCTTTCCTCTTTCCTGCCCCTTCCCCACTCCCCCAGCCTCTCTTCCCCACCTCTTCTCCTCCCCCAGAGCCTCCTCCCTACTCCCATTCTCTCCCCCATCCCCAGGCCCTCCTCCTCTCCCCTTCCCCTCCCCAGACCCTCCTCCCTGTCTCTTACCCTACCCCTTCCCCAAACCCTCCTCCCCAACGGTTTCCAAGACCCTCCTCCCCACACCTTCGCTCTCTGTCGAGAGACTCCCTTCCCTTCCCGTTCGAGACCTCTTCCCCCTTCCCCTCCCATTCTAGAGACCCCCTTCTCCCTTCCCCTCCCATTCTAGAGACCCCCTTCTCCCTTCCCCTCTCCCTCCAGAGACCCCTCCCCCCTTCTCCTCCCCTCCAGAGACCCCTTCCCCCTTCCCTCCCTCTCCAGAGACCCCTTCCCCCTTCTCCCTCTCCAGAGACCCCAACCCCCTTCTTTCCCCCCTGCAGAGACCCCATCCCTCCCCCTCCAGAGACCTCTTCCCCCTTCCCTCCAGAGACCCCATCCCCTTTCCCTCCCCACTCCAGAGATCCCCTTCCCCTCTTTCCCTCCGCCTGCCCAATACTCCTCCCTATCCCTTCCCCTCGCGGTCGAGAGACCCCCTCCCTGCCATCTTCTCTCCTTGGTGCTTCCTTCTCCCTAACCCCTCCTCCGCCCCTTCCTCCTCCCTTTTCCTTTCTTTGAAGTCCTCTCTTCAAAGTCCACCCCTCTCAAAGTTCCCTTGATTCCCTGATGGATCCTTCCTCTAGAACTTCCCCCTTTCCTAACAACCTTCCCTCTCCCTCCCAGCTCCCTCCCAGCCTCCCTCTCCACTTCTCCTCTCCCCTTTCCTGCCTTCTCTCCCTTCTCCCCCATCTCCATTCTGTCTGGGATCTGCTGCTCCCTCCAACCCCCTCACTGCCCTCTCCAGGAGTCCCCTTACCCCTCCCCGAGGCCTCTTCCAGCCAGACTCTCCCGGCCTTTTGCTTTTCACCCCCTCCTCCTCTTCCTGAAAGTCTCTCCCCGCTCAGCCCCATCGCTCCTTCCCCACCCAGCCTCCTGGAGTTCTGCCCTGTCCTGACTCTTGGCCTTCCCCCTGGATTCCCTTCCTCTGTTCTAGCCCCTTCTTTCCCTCCCCCAGCCCTACCCCCGCTCAAAGTCCCGTCCCCCACGACCTCAGTCTCCTTCAATCAGCCGCCCCCCACCCTCAGCTCCTCCCCTCCGCTCCCCTGCCCCACTCCCCGCCCCACCATTCCCCGTTTCCCTTCCCCGTTCCCCCCCACCCCCCAGTTCCCCCCCCTCCCCTCGAAACCCCCCACCCTTTCATTTCTCCCAGGGCTGCGCTGTCCTGCTCTGTGGCCACGCCCAGCTGTGTTGGGACAAGCTCAGCTAAACTAAGTGCATCCTCTCCTCCCACAGTTCTGCTGACCGATGGGCCCCTGAGCTGGTACAGCGACCCAGGCCTGGCAGGCGTGTCTCTGGCGGAGGGCCTGAGATACAAGGAGGACACGAAGGAGCTGGTGGTGGCCAAGGCTGGCGTCTACTACGTCTTCCTGCAACTAGAGCTGCAGCGCGTGGTGGCCGGCGAGGGCTCAGGCTCCGTTTCGCTTGCGCTGCACCTGCAGCCACTGCGCTCTGCCGCCCTGGCTTTGACCGTGGACCTGCCATCCGCCTCCTCCGAGGCTCGGAACTCGGCCTTCGGTTTCCAGGGCCGCCTGCTGCACCTGGGTGCCGGCCAGCGCCTGGGTGTCCATCTGCACACTGAGGCCAGGGCATGCCATGCCTGGCAGCTTACCCAGGGCGCCACAGTCTTGGGGCTCTTCCGGGTGACCCCCGAAGTCCCAGCCAGACTCCCCTCACCGAGGTCTGAATAACGCCCAGCCTGGGTGCAGCCCACCTGGACAGAGACTGAACCCTACTCCATCCTTCATGGAGACCCCTGGTGCTGGGTCCCTGGTAATTTCTCTACCTCAAGGGGCTTGGCAGGGGTCCCTGCTGCTGACCTCCCCTTGAGAACCCTCCTCACCCACTCCTTCCTCAAGTTGGACCTTGATATTTATTCTGAGCCTGAGCTCAGATAATGTATTATATATATTATCTATATATCTATATATCTATATATCTATTTAAAGAGGTTCCTGAGTTTGTGGAATGGGCTTTTTTAGGGGAGTTGTTTGGGGGGCGGGGGTGGGTCTTCGACACTGCTGAGGCTGGTCTTGAACTCCTGGACTTAGACGATCCTCTCGCCTCAGCCTCCCAAGCAACTGGGATTCATCCTTTCTGTTAATTCATTGTACTTATTTGCTTATTTGTGTGTATTGAGCATCTGTAATGTGCCAGCATTGTGCCAGGGCTAGCGAGCTAGAGAAATATCCAGAAACAGACTGAAAGAAAATCTGAGTTATGGTAATATGTGAACAATTTAAAGACTCATCTCCAGCCTCCACCTCCTGTGTGATACTTGGGGACTAGCTTTTTTCTTTCTTTCTTTCTTTCTTTTTTTTTGAGATGGTCTTGTTCTGTTGACCAGGCTGGAATGCGGTGGTGCAATCATGAGTCAATGCAGCCTCCAGCCTCGACCTCCCCAGGCTCAGGTGATCCTCCCATCTCAGCCTCTCCAGTAGCTGGGATCACAGGTGTGCGCCACCGCACTTGGATAACTTTTTAATTTTTTTGCGGAGATAGGGAGGGTATCGCTATGTCTCCAAGGTTGTTTACATGCCAATACAATTTATAATAAACACTCATTTTTCCTCCCTCTGGAGAGTTGGTGGTTAAACATTTACCAGCACACCCTGTCTCTCTGTGCTCTACATAGCTGGCCAGTTTCTTCAGCCCCATAATTTCCCCACGGTACAGATCTTTCACGACCACCCCTATAACTAGACGCATCCTCTGGCCCGCTAGGATAGCCCTGTGACCCTGCAACCAAGGCCTTAACATGGGATATGTGGGGAGAGAAGGATGGTCCCCCCAACTCTGGTCTGGGAGCCAGTGCCAAATCTGATTGGTCAAACCTGATTGGTCACCGTCTGTCTGGCTACAGGGTAGTTTGCCTGTTTTGAATAACAATCCTGGCAACAGGTGACTCAATTCCTTCGTCCCAGTTGATTGGGTCAGGTTGGACCCGTGACTGAAACTGGGCCAATCGGATCTCCTCCCCGGAATGTGGGTGGTCTGGGCCACAGAGGCTAGATAGTGGAGAGAAGGAAGTGGTGCAAAGACTCAGATGCGACCACAGAGTTACAGGAGCTACTTTGATTTCCTTCTTGCCTCTTGCTGGTGACATGGGTTGCCATTTTAATGGCAAAACTGCAATTACTTTTGCATCAACCTAATAGTTTTCTAGGGCTGCCATAAGAAGGTACTGTAAAGTGGGTGGCTTAAAGCAAACGAGAGTTGTTATCGCTCGGTTCTGGAAACAGAGTCCAAAGTCAAGGTGTTGACAGGGCCATGCTCATTCTAAAGACTCCAGGGGAGAGGACTTCCTTGCCTCCTCCTAGGTTCTGGTGGTTACCAGCAATCCTCCAATCTCTGCCTCTGTTGGTCACATGGCTGTGTTCTTTCTGTGTGACTCCATCTCTCTCTATTCTTCCTCTTTTTTTCTTTGAGATGGAAGGAGTCTCACTCTGTCACCCAGGCCAGAGTGCGGTGGCGCCATCTCGTCTCACTGCAACCTCCACCTCCTGGGTTCAAGCGATTCTCCTGCCTCAGTCTCCAGAGTAGCTAGGATTACAGGTGCGCCACCACACTCAACTAATTTTTGTATTTTTAGTAGAGACAGGGTTTCACCATGTTGGCCAGGCTGGTCTTGAAGTCCTGACCTCAAGTGATCCGCCTGCCTTGGCCTACTGAAGTGCTGGGATTACAAGCTTGAGCCTCTGTGCCTGGCCTCTTCTTCTTCTTTATGTATTTTTTTTTTCTGTAGAGACAGGGTCTTGCTATGTTGCCTAGGCTCGTCTTGAACTCCGAGCAACCCTCCTGCCTCAGACTCCCAAAGTGCCAGGATTACAGATGTAAGGCACAAGGCCTGAACTCTCCCCTTTTTATAAGGACGCCAGTCATACTGGATTCAGGGCCCACCCTCTTCCAATATGACCTCATGTTAATTTAAATAATTACATCTGCAAAGACCCTATTTCCAAAGAAGGTCATTAATATAATTTGGTTCTGTGTCCCCACCTACTTTTTTTTTTTTCTTTTTGAGACGGCATCTTGCTCTGTCGCCCAGGCTGGAGTGCGATGGCCGGATCTCAGCTCACTGCAAGCTCCGCCTCCCGGGTTTACGCCATGCTCCTGCCTCAGCCTCCTGAGTAGCTGGGACTACAGGTGCCCGCCACCTCGCCCGGCTAGTTTTTTGTATTTTTTAGTAGAGACGGGGTTTCACCGTGTTAGCCAGGATGGTCTCGATCTCCTGACCTCGTGATCTGCCCGTCTCGGCCTCCCAAAGTGCTGAGATTACAGGCTTAAGCCACCGCGCCTGGCTCTCTTTTTTTTTTTTTTTTTTTTAGATAGAGTCTCATCTGTCACCCAGGCTGGTGTGTAGTGGTGCAGTCTTGGCTCACTGCAACCTCTGCCTCTTGGGTTTAAGTGATTCTCCTGCCTCAGCCTCCTGAGTAGCTGGGATTACAGGAGCAGGCCACCACTCCTGGCTATTTTTTTTGTACTTTTTGTGGAGGGTTTTGCCATGTTGGCCAGGCTGGCCTCGAACTCCTGACTTCAAGTGATCTGCCCGCCTTGGCCTCCCAAAGTGCTGGGATTACAAGCGTGAGTCACCTTACCCGGCCCCCTTGGGATTCTGACCTCCCCTAAGCTAAAATCAAGGTGACTGAAGGTTTGCATTTCTTCTGGAGGCTCTAGAGGAGAATTGCTTTCCTTGTTTTCCCAACGTCTAGAGGCTTTGTTTTTAATTTAATTTAATTCTATTTTGTAGAGACAGGGGTCTCCTCATGTTGCCCAGGCTGGTCTTGGACTCCTGACCTCAAGGGATCCTCCTGTCTTGGCCTCCCAAAGTGCTGGGATTACAGGCGTAAGCCACTGCACCTGGCAGCTGATGGTTTTAAAGTGTGGCACTTCCCTGCTTGTTCTTTCCTTCTTGCTGCCTTGTAAGATGTGCCTTGCTTCCCCTTCATTTTCCACTGTGATTGTAAGTTTCCTGAGGCCTCCCCAGCCATATGAAACTGTGAGTCCATTAAACCTCTTTTCTTTTTCTTTTATTTTTTTGAAACAGAGTCTCACTCTGTCACCCAGGCTGGACTGCAGAGGCACGATCTTGGGTCACTGCAAGCTCCACCTCCCGGGTTCACGCCATTCTCCTGCCTCAGCCTCCAGAGTAGCTGGGACTACAGGTGCCTGCCACCACGCCTGGCTAATTTTTGTATTTTTAGTAGAGACGGGGTTTCACTGTGTTAGCCAGGATGGTCTCGATCTCCTGACCTCATGTTCCGCCCGCCTCGGCCTCCCAAAGTGCTGGGATTACAGGCATGAGTCACCACACCTGGCCCACAAACAATTATAAATAAAGCTTAACTCTTATGTAAAGACCTGACAATGCATACAGTGGTCCTCTGTTGATTTGGAAGCAGGGACAGTTTTCTATTACAGTCTGTTGATTGTATTGTATAATTGTTAAGGGAAAAAAGGAAAATTATATTTCTGTTTTTTTTGTTTGTTTTGAGACGGAGTCTCGCTCTGTCACCCAGGTTGGAGTGCAGTGGTGCGATCTCAGTTCACTGTGACCTCCACCTCCCTGGTTCACAAACGATTCTCCTGCCTCAGCCCTTGAGTGGCTGGGGTTACAGACACACACCACTACACCCAGCTAATTTTTGCATTTTTAGCAGAGACAGGGTTTGTTGGTCAGGCTGGTCTCCAACTTCTGGGCTCAAGTGATCCATCCACTTCAGCCTCCCAAAGTGCTGGGATTACAGGCATGAGCCACCAAGTCCGCCCTCCCCGGTATTTCTTATTGGAACTGTTTTTCTTGTTTGAGGTTTCTTTTCCACACCCTGAATCTACAATGACCCAAACACAAATTCGGGAACCTTGCTTCTGAGGCCCATTCTCTGATGAGTAAGTTTAGTCCCAAATGGGGAAAGTACCTAAGTTTCAGCTTTTTCAGCCTGACTGCATCTATTTAGAGATAGGGTCTTACAGGGGTGATCACGTTAAAATGAGGTCATTAGGGTAATCCCTGATCCAATATGACTGATGTTCTTATAAAAGGGGGGCTTTGGCTAGATGTGGTAGGGTGGCTCATGCCTGAAATTCCAGCACTTTGGGAGGCCGAGTCAGGTGGATTGCTTGAGCCCAGGGGCTTGAGACCAGTCATGGGCAACATAGCAAGACCCCGTCTCTACAAAAAATACAAAAATTAGCTGGGTGTGGTGGTGCACACCTGTAGTCCCAGCTGCTAGGGAGGCTGAGGTGGGAGATCACTTGAACCTTGAGGTCAAGGCTGCAGTGAGCTATGATTACCACTGCAATCCACCCTGTGTGACACAACAAGATCCTGTCTCCAAAAAAAGTGGGGATGAGGGGTGGAATTTGGACGCAGACACACACAGGGAGAGCACCATGTACAGAAGCAAGTGATGTCTATGGCCAGGCCCCAGTAGCTGACGCCTGTAATCCCAGCACTTTGGTGGATCACTTGAGATCAGGAGTTTGAAATCAGTCTGGCCCATATAGTGAAACCTCCTCTCTACTAAAAATACAAACGTTAATCGGGTGTGGAGGCGTGCACCTGTCATCCTAGCTACTCCATCTCAAAAAAACAAAAGCAAAAAACAACAAAAAAAAGAAGAAAATGTCATCTACAAGCCAAGGAGAGAGGCCTGGAACAGAGCCTTCCCTTACAGCCCTCAAACGGAACCTTATCTGCCAATGCCTTGATTTTGGACTTCCAGCCTCCAGAACTGTTAGACAATAAATTTCTGCTATTGAAGCCCCCAGTATGAGCTACTTTGTTATAACAGCCATATCAAATAAAAAACAGAATTAAAGGAGTTGATAATTTTTTTTTTTTTTTTTTTGAGATGGAGTCTGGCTCTGTAACCCAAGTGGAGTACAATGGCACAATCTCAGTTCACTGCAACCTCCGCCTTCCGGGCTCAAGTGATTCTCCTGCCTTAGCCTCCCGAGTAGCTGGGGCTGCAGGCACATGCCACCATGTCCAGCTGATTTTTGTATTTTTAGCAGAGATGGGGTTTTGCCATGTTGGCCAGGCTGGTCTCAAACTCGTGACCTCAAGTGACCCACCCGCCTCGGCCTCCCAAAGTGCAGGGATTACAGGTGTGAGCCACTGCACCCAGCCAGGAGTTGATAATTTAATACACTTTCAATGCACAGTGTCTGGCTCCTGGTTAGCAATTATTAAGGACACTCAAATGGACAGAAACGATATTACAGAAACACAGTGGTACAATAGAGGGGTTGCGGCCAGGCACAGTGGCTCATGCCTGTAATCTCAGCACTTTGGGAGGCTGAGGCAGGCGGATCACGAGGTCAGGAGTTCGAGACCAGCCTGGCCAACATGGTGAAACCCTGCCTCTACTAAAAATACAAAAATTAGCTGGGTGTGGTGGCGGGCACCTGTAATCCCAGCTACTTGGGAGGCTGAGACAGGAGAACTGCTTGAACCTGGGAGGCAGAGGTTGTAGTGAGCTGAGACTTTGCCACTGCACTCCAGCCTGGGTGAAACAGCGAGACTCTGTCTCAAAACAAACAAACAAACAAACAAACAAAAAAGGTTTGATTCAAA